AATCTGAATATCTTTGATCCAGTAATATCAATACTACTTCCAAGAATCTATCCAGCAGAAATATTCACCCATGTGTACAAACATATATATATATAGATACTTATGCTCACTGTTTGTCAGTTCAAAATTGAAAATGGCTCAAATGTACTAAAGATCAAGAATTCTTGTTAAAAACTATTACTAGGAAAGATGTTGAAAATATATTGTAATTGAAAAATCAAATTGCAAAACAGTATGTATGTTGTCCCTTTTTGTTGTTAAAAATGCAATCCATGTACATTTATATATAGTTCTTTAAAACTACTTGTGTTATATATGTGTCTGTGTGCAGAGTTGAATACCTGAAGTCAGAGGTTGCCTCTGGGGAATGGCGTTATTGGCAATAGAAGAACTTACATGCTTAAATTTATACATTTCTGAATTACTTGGCTTATTGCTTCTCGGCCTTTTGGCTAAGATCAAATGTGAATTACTTGGCTTAAAGTCTCAAAGATATAGGACTTCGCTGTGGCAAATGTGAGACAGACTCCAGGCTAACTTTGAGAATATTGACTCTTACTAATTTGGAACACTGTTTTACCAAATTACTGTAAACCAGGGAGCAACGTATTGTAATAATCCTCAAACTAAATCTGGCAGGACTCCTGTGGACTAAGAATGATTTTTATATTTTTAAATGGCTGATTGAAAAAACTCAAAAGAAAAACAATATTTTGTGATGTAAAATTTATACAAAGCTCAAATTTCAGTGCCAAGATATAAACTTGTATTGGAAGTTTATATTGTACTCATTCATTGCAGACTCCCTGGGGCTACTTTCATGCTACAACAGCAGAGTTGAGTAGTTTTGACACAGGCTGTCTCACACTCAAAGCATAAAATATATACTATTTGGCCCTTCACAGAAAAAGTCTGCAAAGTCCTACAGTACAATACGTAAGATGCTGTCTAGGATGTTGAACTTTCAACTCCTTTGCTATGGTCACACTAAAAGAATTGTGAAAAACTATGTCACCTCTTCACCTTTTTTCATCAACATCAAAAATGTTTTTAAGGACTTCCCTGGCGGTTCAGTGGTAGAGAATCTGCCTGACAACCCAGGAGACACAGGCTCCACCCCTGATCCAGAAAGACCCGAGCACAGAGCGGCTCAGCTCCTGTGCCACAGCTATTGAGCTTGTGCTCCAGAGCCTGGAAGCTGCGACATGAGAAGCCTACACATGCAACTAGAGAGTAGGGAAAGCCCACGGACAGCAACAAAGACCCTGCACAGCCGAAAATAAATAATATGTAAATAAATAATTTTTTAAATGTTTTTAAGTTTAAGTAGACAGAGTCTAATTTCTAACATCTACATATTCTAGTATTATATATTGATATTTTAATTAGTTGTTCTATCACTTCAAAAATGCATCCAACCAGATCTCTAACAGTTTGGTACCTACCATCCATCCCCTGGAGAAGGAAATGACAACCCACTCCAGTATTCTTTTTTTTTTTTTTCCAGTTCTACCAGTTTATTGCTACCAACCCATCTCCCTCCACCCTCATGCACACATGTTCAGTCATGTAACCCCATGGACTGCAGCCCACCAGGCTTCTCTGTCCATGGACTTTTCCAGGCAAGAATACTGGAGTTGGTTGCCATTTCCTTCTCCCCACTCCAGTATTCTTGCCTGGAGCATCCCATGGATGGTGAAAGCTGGGTGGGCTACAGACCATGGGGTTGCAAAAGTCAGACATGACTTAAGCAACTTAGCGCACATATACTATCCATATTAAAAACTGTAAAATAAACAAGCTCTTCTTTGAAGTTGAAAGTTTAATTTTTTTTAACTTATGTTCTATTTTTAAATGAGTTCCACACAGAAGTTTATTCTAATATATCCTATATTTATGCTTGAAAATATTTTTTATCATCATCACACTATCTATAACAAAAATATGTATTTAAATTGAGGTTACAATTATAGTCTCTTACCATAGTCTGGGTTTCTTCCTGGGACTCCCTGACCTCCTAAATGATTTTTTTAAAAAATTGGTATTCATTGAGATTCATTCTTTTGCTGTATAGTTCTATAGGTTTTAACAAATGCATAATGCCTTATATTCACCATTTTGGTATCATAGAGAATAGTTTAACCACCCTAAAAATCTTCTATGCTTCCTCTTTTCCATCCTCTCTTCCTCCCCTCAAACAGCCAACGATCAATGATCTTTTTATTATCTCTGTTATTTTGCCTTTTCCAGAATGTCATATAATTAAAATCATACATTAGTAGCCTTTTCAGGCTAACTTCTTTCACTTAGCAATATATATTCAAGATTACCCATACTTTTTTGTGGCTTGAGAGCTTCTTTCTTGTCTGTGAATAATATTTCATCATATGGATGTACCACTGTTAGTTTTTCCATTCACCTATTGAAGGTTTTAGAAAAGGCAGAGGAACCAGAGATCAAATTGCCAACATCTGCTGGATCATTGAAAAAGCAAGAGAGTTCCAGAAAAACATCTATTTCTGTTTTATTGACTATGCCAAAGCCTTTGACTGTGTGGATCACAATAAACTGTGGAANGGGGGGGGGGGGGGGCTGCGGCGGGCCGCTCCAGCAGCAGGAAGGGATTGAAGATGCTGCCCCCAGCCCCGACTCCAAACCAAGCCCTCCTGTTTGTCTGATCACCTTATCCTCACTGCATCCCCATCCTCAGGCCAGACCTCTAGCAGCTGAGGCAGGGACAGGAAAGGACACCATCCTGACACCAACTGGGCCACCCGGGGCCGCTTCCTGCCCCTGAAACAGCGACCGCTGGCTTCCCTCTCTGAGCAGGTGCAAAAGAACACATGCTCCGGGCCAGGGCTGGGTGCTCCGCTTTTTTTCCCCTTTAAACCCACCCTCTGTGGTACTCCACCCTCGGTCTTCCCTTCCCCTGGGCGTCTGGTAAGCTGGATGCCTGGGTCTGTTAGTGAGGAGATGAGAGAGACAGACCTTCTGTCCAGGGGAGGATCGAGTCTGTGAGGCGGGGCTGCGATGAATAGACTTAGAAATGATGGATAGTTTCCATATGATTAGACCATTGTTAAGGCTAACAGACTTTAAGAGCTGAACTGTTGAAGACAGGACCACCCTGTGATCAGCAAAGAAGTGACAACCAGCCCTAAAGGGTGTCCACTCTTTGCAACGCAAAAAGAGCTAAAAAGACCCTGAGGCTGAGAAAGATTGAGGGCAGGAGAAGGGGACGACAGAGAAGGGGACGACAGAGAATGAGACGGCTGGATGGCATCACCAACTTGATGGACATAAGTTTGAGTAAACTCCGGGAGTTGGTGATGGACAGGGAGGCCTGGCGTGCTGCGGTTCATGGGGTCGCAAAGAGTCAGACACGACTGAGTGACTGAACTGAACTGAATTGAAGGTTGGTTCTAGTTTTTAGTGATTCATAGTGATTCATAGTGATTATAAATAAAGCTGCTACAAACATTCATGTGCAGGTAAGACTTACTTTTTATCATGATTTCAGTTTTATTTTTTAAAATATTTATTTATTTGTCTGCTTTGAGTCTTAGTTGCAGCATGCAGTTTCATTTTTAGTTGCAGCAATCAAACTTTTATTTGTGGCGTGTGGAATCTAGTCCCCTAACCAGGAATTAAACCCGGACCCCGTCATTGGGAATGTGGAGTCTTAGCTTCTGGACCACCATGAAAGTCCCATCATTTTTCATTTCAAGCATAATATTCAAAGAATACAATAAAAATGATTGACAAATAAATACATCTTGAAAGTCAAAATTAAAATGATACAGCCCATCATAATATATTTATTCAATTTTTTAATTAATAAAAAACAAGATAATGTGTTGGTTCTTACTACTTAAATAGCAAAAACACAATATAATATGCAGCTGAAATTATAAGTTATTTGTGAAGTAAGAAATATTATACAAGGCCCAGTGTTCTTTCTGCAAATATGTAAATAGGCATATATGAAACTCTGGGGTTAAACTTTTAAGATTAATTAGAGAATATTTAAGTATATAAAAACCAGAAACAATCTCATTAAATTCATCAGACATCATAACAAGGTTGTTCCTATTTATTTAATGAAAGCGGAAGAACATGCCATGCACAAAGGCAAATTCACTGTTTGTAGTACCAGTATAGGTTTGTTTCCTGCAAATACACAATTCTGATGTGTACTATTTTGCTTGATTCCTATTACAAAAGAAAAACATATGGTGCATTTATTTACAGTGCAGTTTTCCTACACCATCACATTCTGGTTAAAAAAACAAACAGACAGGAAAACTTCAAAGAATGTAAAATTTCCAAATTCAAAATGGTCTTTTTCTCAAGGTAGGTGATAGAATATATTTTATTTAACAGTTTGTTAGCTTAATTGGTAGCATGTATATATTTAGACATTTTGTAAATGGGATTCCGTTTATACTTTCACCCTAAGAATACATTTAGGAATGAGATAGATATCACTCTTTTTATTCCATAGAGTAATACAGAAACTCAGGTTGATATTAGAACAGCCTAGACTCCTGGGAATGCTTTAACTTAAGTACAAACTTAACCCTGACCATCACTACAATAGTTTATAAAATGAAAAGAGAGCAGTGCTGTGTCCCCAGGGGCTGTTCACTCTGATTGAATCTATCTCAGCACATCCGAGTAATAAAGCTCTTTAATCATTGCTACTATAGTTCCCATAGCTGCTGCTACTTCTGCATAACAGTAAAGATAAAGAAAACCCAGTCTCTCCCCAAAGATCACCATGTGAAGGTCCAAGCCTTGGGTGGGCAATTCAGGCATATTCTCCCCATTAGGCTGATAACTGGGATCAAAAGAGTCAGGTCTTGAACTTATAGATTCAGTTCTCTTATTTAAGATGGTGGTTCATAGAGCTATGGCTGAAGAGGCTTTGTCTTTGGATCTACCTGTCACATGAGGACCGCATTTGGCATATGTGTTCACGTGTTAATATTTCTCTGCAGTCTGTGAGGCCCTGCGCACCAAATCCCTGGTCACAGAGTTCAGTCCTGGGCCTAAACACAAGACGCAGAGGTCGCTCATCACTTGTCAAAGACCTACGCACTGCCCGGGAAAAAAGGATTGCGATGGGACCATTTGGATATGACAACCAAGATCTCAAGCTAAGTGAAAACTCAGAAGTTTTTCCCAGGGCTTTTTACCCTTGAAATAAAAGTAATTATTTCTAGGATGAGCCCTTCTCTTGCTCCAAGACACAGGCAGCAGTGAACTTAGTCACATTCTTCTCTTTACCTGAAGTTGTATAATCTCTTTGTCATTATGTTTATAAAGAAAAATCTACTTAATGTTGACCTGACTTTTTTTCTTTTTGACCTGGATTTTTAATTTGCACCATATACACAGAGGGTTCAAGAAAACTGACATCACATTAGGTGACTGCATATTTTTCCATAACCCAGGAAAGTCATATACAAAATGTAGGTCAGAACTCCAAATTTTACTAGAACAGAAATATTCAAAGACCCAGAGTCTTTTGCAAGGTATGCAAAGAGCCCTTTGAAATCCAGACTAGAATCCCATTAGTCTGGGAAAGAAAGTCATAGGTGATTTTTTCTATCCACAAGTTTAGTCTTGTTCTAAAGCAAGCTCTTTAACTGCAGCCCACAAGGCAATAAGGAAGCCATGTCACAGGACTTTCATAAGAAAGCAGAGTCAGTACAATATTTCCCGCCTTGTATTGTGTGCATGGGTGTGAACACTTTTAGATCGCTGTGAAGCATTGCTGCAGTTTCACAAGGCTGATCAGCAATTCTTACAAGCCTCAGTGTAGTCAATGCTTGAAAGATTTAGATATCATGGGAGAGTTACAAACTGTATCTGTATCCTAAGCTGGGATCCTCTAAGAGCACACAGTACCCCTAAACTTGCCATGGAAGAGGAAAGATCCAGAATTCACAGTAGTGTGAATCCAGCTTTCTTTCCAAAATATTGATTGGTATTTACACCCTAAATAGCTTTGGGACATTCAGTGATTATTGTAAAATAAAGGCAATATGAATCTCACTCTATTTTTCTTCTGATCAGATCCTCTCTTCTGGTGCATTATTATAATCAGAAATATGAAAAGCAATAATTTCCACTATGAACCCCTAGCAGCTATGGAACATGGAGGGAAAAAAGAACTTTGGGGAATATCAGTTAAGTATGAAAAAGAAAATCTTCCCTTTTCTGGTTTCATGTAACCCATGTTTTTATTTGTTAATTTACACACTTCATTCCAGTGAAACACTAATCCATTAAGCACCACCACATATAGCAAATTCATTTCTACATCTATCAAATCTGAAGATCCCAAGATCTGGCTGCCATGAGACATTTGAGACAATAAATAATTCTGTATGAGTACTTTTTTAGCCCCTGTATCTCTGACTTTCACTTCATAATGAAAGGACTTTATTGTGCCCTCTGCATCACTGGCAGGAACAAGAGGACAGAACTGAACTCTTCAGTAGGTCAGCAAGGCCAAACAGAGGGTCTGTTAGGTTATCTGTACTGTGGGAAGGGCAGCAGCAGAAATCACCCTTGTCTTTGAGTGATTTTACAACATACATTGAAGAACCTTTCACAGACAATATGTTTAGTCTAGTAGGAACTGTGTGGTACACTGCAGATGTGCGGTGGGAGGCCAGGGGAGGCGGCTGCTGCCATAGTCTTGGATCTCAGAGACAGCAAGAGCCTTAGAGAGGGGACAAGATCCTCCAGGCTGCGGAAAGGACAGGAGAAAGGCTGGAGGAAGGAACTTGGCAGGGGTGCTTGAAGACTCCATTTTCAGCTCCTGTCTCCAAATCGGTTCACTTGTTACTTCACAGTTAAGAAGCTGGACATCCATCTCCTTACCCTTGTACTTTGTGTGTGTGTGTGTTAGTTGCTCAGTTGTGTCGGATTCTTTGTGACCCCTTGGGGACTCTAGCCCACCAGGCTCCTCTGTCCATGGAATTCTCCAGGCAAGAATACTGGAGTGGGTTGCCATGCCTTCCTCCAGGGGATCTTTCTGACCCAGGGATCGAACCTGGGTCTCCTGCATTGCAGGCAGATTCTTTACTGTCTGAGCCACCAGGGAAACTGAATCTAATCATATTAATAAAATGTTATAATGACAAAATACTCCAGAGGTCCCACAAATCCTTGCCTGTCCTTCCAGACTGAGGCTGTTGTAAGACTCTCTTCCCAACCAGAATGTCTCGGCTGTCTCCTTTCCATTGCTCCCATTTTCATCTTTCCTCTCCTTTCTTCTGCCACAAACATTCACTAACTCCATAGGTTGAATTAGACAAAGGACTGCTGCCAATCCTACTGTAAAAGGAAGCTTCTGCTTAGTCCAGCTTGTTCAAGAAACACCATGCTGACCTTCTCCTGGCCAAGATCTAGAGAAATTTTCCATTTTTCCATCAAGATTCATGTCTTTACTAGTTTACACATACCATCTGTTAGCATTCCTAGTGAACTACATCAACAGAAATTTCCTGAGCAGTGAAAAGGGGTTGGTGACTCAGAAAGAAAACACCTGTGTTAGAATTTATTCTCTTGCCTCCCACAGCCTCCCACTGGTTATCACTTAATCCTCCCACTCCACCCTATCATTTCTAGAACTATACTGTCAGCAAATAGTTACCAAATGCATGTATTATTGAGGCATCATGGATATCCCAAGAAGTACAAGACAGTTTTTCTGACTCTGAGAAATTTGTTGTCTTGGTTGATAAAATGAGCTCATTTGTTGGAGGCAGCATCAGAGCCTCTCAGAAGTCAAGAGTGAGCTGGATACTCCCACTTTTTTGATACTTCAGCTATATTTTTAAAAATTAAGTACCAGAATGATATTTTTTAAAATATGGTAGACTTTTAAAGTGTACACTTAAACTATTGTTTTTTAACACAAAATTTACAATGACGAACTTTTGAAACAATGTCAAAAATCTAAATTGACAGGAATGTTTTAGCAATACTATTCATAATAGCCAAGAAGTGGAAGCAACCCAAATGTCCATCAACTGACAGATGGATAAATAAACTTTGATTTATCCATACAATAAAATATTACTCGTCAATAAAATGTAGTGAAGTACTAGTGCGATGACAGATGAATGGATAAAGAAGATTGAGATATGCATGCACATACATGCACATACATATACATACAATGGAATATTACTCAGCCATAAAAAGAATGAAATGATCCATTTGCAGCAATATGGATGGACCTAGAGATTATCATACTAAATGAAGTTCGGAAGACAGAAAAATCAAATATTATATGATATCACTTATATGTGGAACCTAAAAAAAAATGATACAAATGAACTTATTTATAAAACAGAAATAGACTCACCAGACATTGAAAACAAACTGATGGTAACCAAAGGGGAACGGAGGTGGCGAGGAATTAGTTCAGAATCTGGCATTAGCAGATACACACTACTATATATAAAATGATTCTCTGATAACTCAGTTGGTAAAGAATCCACCCACAATGCAGGAGACCCTGGTTCAATTCCTGGGTCAAGAAGATCCTCTGGAGAAGGGATAGGCTACCCACTCCAGTATACTGGCCTAGACTATTCATGGACTATACAGACCAAGGGGTCACAAAGAGTCAGACACATCTGAGCAACTTTCACTCACTCACTCACATATATAAAATAGACAATAAAAACTTATATAGCACAGGGAACTATATTCAATATCATTAATAACCTATAATGAAAAAGAATCTGAAAAAGGATATATATATATGTATAATTGATTGACTTAGCTGTATACTTGAAACAAACACATTATAAATCAATATACTTCAATTTTTAAAAAATGATGAAGTACTGATAAACGCTGCAACCTGGCTGAAACTTATGCTAAGTGAAAGAAGCCAGTTACAAAAGACCATATATTGTATGATTTCATTTATATGAAATTTTCAAAATAGACAAATTTTGTGTGTGTGTGTGTGTTCCTTCTTAAACCAGTTGTTTGCTGAAGGGCACTTGGGTTATTTCCATGTCCTGGCTATTGTAAATTGTGCTGCTATGAACACTGGAGTGCATGTATATTTTTGAATCAGTTTTCAACTTTTCAGTTGCACACCCAGCAGTGGAATTGCTGGATCTCATGGCTGCTTTATTTTGAGCTTTTTGAGGAACCTCCATACTGTTTTCCATAGCAGCTACACCAATTTACATTCCCACCAGTAGTGCAGGGGGGCTTCCCAGGTGGCGCTAGTGGCACAAATGGTAAAGAACCTGCTTGCCAATGCTGGACACGTAAGAGACGAAGGTTCAGTCCCTGGGTTGGGAAGATCCCCTGGAGGAGGTCATGGCAACCCACTCCAGTATTCTTGCCTGGAGAATCCCACGGACAGACGAGCCTGGTGAGTTACAGTCCGCAGGTTCACACAGAGTCAGACATGACTGAAGCGACTTAGCATGCATGCATGTACAATAGTGTAGGAGAGATCCCCTTTCTCCAACTCTCTCCAGCATTTGTTTTTTTACAGACTTTTTGATGATAGCCATGCTGGTCAGTATGTGGTTTTGATTTGTATTTCTGTAATAATTATCAGTGTTGAACATCTTTTCATGTGCCTGTTGGCCATCTGTATTTCTTCTTTGGAGTAGTGTTTCTTTAGGTCTTCTGCCCATTTTTTGATTGGGTTGTGTGTTTTTTTTTTAATGCATTGTATAAGCTGTTTGTACATTTTGGATGTTAACCTCTTGTCAATTGTATCATTTGCAAATATTTTTTCCCAGTTCATAGGTTGCCTTGTCATTTTGTTGATGGTTTCCTTTGCTATGCAAAAGCTTGTAAGTTTGATTAAGAACCATTTGTTTATTTTTGCTTTTGTTTCCTTTGTCTTAGGAGACAGGTCCAAAAAATATTGCTATGATTTAAGTAAGAGAGTGTTTTGCCTATTTCTCTTCTAGAAGTTTTATGGTATCATGTCTTATATTTAGGTATTTTAATCATTTTAGTTTATTTTTGTGTATAGTGAGGGAGTGTTCTAATTTCATTCTTTTATATGTAGCTGTCCAGTTTTCCCAGGACCACTTGCTAAAGAGACTATCTTTTCTCCATTGTATATTCTCCTCTCCTTTGTGGTAGATTATGTAATAAGCAGTTTATAGAAACAGAAAGTAGATTACAGATTATTTATGACTGGGAGAGGTAGGACTTAGGGAGGGAGGGTTGGAGAAGGGAACAGGAATTGACTGTTAATGGGTGTTTTTTAGGGGGAACAAATACATTCTAAAAATACCTTGGTGTGGTGATTGTGCAACCTTTTGAATATACCAAA